GCACTGCGTCCAGCTGCCCTGCCACAGGGCAAGGGAGCCCTGCTTCCCAACCCAGCGGCACACATCTGCCCAGGCTGGGTGACAGGGCTGGCTTCCAGCAGGTCAGCAATGTGCACCGATCCGCCCTGCAGCCCCATTCCCACTCACTACGTAAGCAGAAGCACACGAGGGCTGGGGAAGCGGGAATCACCATTTTTGGCTGCAATCTGAAACCAAACTGGATGAGACATACAGTGAGATGTTACACACACTGAAAAACAAGAACGGGACCCAAATGTCTCTGCAGTTCCCTACTCAGCATTTTAAATTTAATTGCCTAATAGCTGTGGCATCCCGGACTTGCAGGGAGTGCCATCAGACCTCACTCAATGTGGACAGGGCAGACCGAGCAAGCAGCTCACTCCCTGTGTCCCATCCTCCTGCAGTACTCAGGGAAGCTCCCTCGGACAATGCCTCACTTTCATGCAGCTGAAGCAGAAGAGCATGTTCATTAACAGCTTCCTCGTTAGACAGAACGGGGCACAGAGCAGCACACAGATGGGAGCACAGCCTGAGCTGTGGAACAGGGAGCTGCGAGCTGAGATCCTGCTCACACACACTGTTTTTCCACCAGGGTAACATGGCTGAATTCAGAACGTGTTCCTCCTTTCTCCAAAGCTGCAAGAGCTCCAGGCTATCACAGCTAACACAGCACTCTGATTCTGCCAGATCTGTTTGGTGGCCGCAGGCTGTTTCCTGCTCCCCCGCAGCTGCACTGCTGTCACACAGATTCAGCTTAAGGAATTTAAACATCTCTGTCATAGCAGTAGGTCAGAAAAACCACCCCGATGTCACCAGAAGTGCACTGTTACCACTTGTTCCGCTGCCAGACTTCCGAATTCTGACCTTTCTGGAGCTTCATGTTTCATACAATACAGTTTAAGGGGAAAGTGGATGAGGAAAAAAGGATGAAGAGAAATCGAGGCGCTGTGATTCCCCTGGCATGAGAGAGCAGGCAGAGATGGAACTAGCCGTTTCTTCCTTTAATAGCTGAGATGGTGTCAGAGGATCAGTTTTAACCAGGAGGGCGGCTGAACACTCGGGGTAAGTTGACCTCTCCCAGACAGAGACAAAGCAGCTAAAGACAGCACAGAGTCCCGACTTTCCATGGAAATAGAGCAGCAAGAAAAGAAGCCTCTCTGCATCGCACACTGCTTGAGGCAGAGGACTCCCTGTCTGAGCTGCTCAGGACAATGAAGCCCCTGTTTTACAAGGGATCAGAACAGCTAAGAAGCTGAAACAAGTCAGAACTCCATTGTGCAGAGCAGTAGCTCTGTTTGCAGTCTTCTTGCCCAGCACCAGGAACAACTCGAAAACCTGAGCCAGCAGAAAGCACCAAGCTACCTGAGCAGCCCTTCCCCCCACTACTGCTCCCTGGGCACAGCTGACTGTCAGCAATTTCACAGCAATTTCAGTCAAATAAAACCAAAACCCACTACGTATGATTGCAGACAGAAGGAACAGGCAAAGGCAGCAGGAATCCACGAGGCCAACAGCACAGACATGATGGGAAAGGTGGCAGGCAGGCCATGCTGAGCCCCCTCCACATACCCGTGCACAACCAACCCTGAGAGGGTTAAGCCATGAAGGTGGGGTGGGTGGAAGACAGCTTTTAAACTACCATCTCTTGTACTCTGAATCTTCATGCCCAGAAGTTTCAAAGCCATGCTGGTAGACAGACATTCTCCAAAATGAAACATCCTCCTAGCAGTGAGCAAGCACACCTCTAATAAGCTCCTTACAGCACAGCCAAAGCACTGCCGTAAATACATTCTTAGTAAACAGCAGAAACAACTTTGCAAAAGATCTCTCACAAGCTCCAGTGAATGCTATTTTGTTTCCGATTGCAAAACCCAATGAAAAAAAAGAAAAGCGTCTGAAAAAATAACCACACAGTAACAAAAAGGGAATTTTAAAACCTCCAAAAGAAAGCTTTTAAAAGCAACACCGCTTCTGTTTAGAGTTGCCAAAGCTCTCAGTAAATAAATAACGCTCCACATGACTTAGACAAGGTAGTGCCACAGAAGCAGGAATAATTCAACAGCTCAATCTGCCTGAAGCAAACACATGTGACAGATCACCTGTTGCTGGGGGCACAGCACATAACAACACTGCACTCTGAGAAGCTCTGGGTGATACTCCCAAGTTAGGACCTGCGCTGCTCAGGACCAGGTTTTATTCTCCACACCCATCCACAGCGCAGCAGAACAGCGAGCTTCCTGCCCAACTCCAAGCACGTCCGCAAAGCGTTTCCTCTGAGGCTCAGGGCAGGCAGTGCGAGCCTGGCCAGCTGCCCAGGCTCCCCACCCTCCCCCCCATCCCCACCATGTGCTGCTGCAGTTTTGTCAGGCCCAGCGCTGAGCTCCCTGTGCTGCTGGGACGCAGCTTCCTGCAGGAGCCGTGCACTGCGACGCCATTCCTCCAGCACTGCGGGTGGGGAAAAAAAATGAGCAAAGTCTTTTCAGCTCCAATCAAATCCCCAAATCCCCAGTGCAACCCAAACCCACACCCGCTGGTGTTTCATAACTTGTCCAGACCAAGCAAGGTACCTCTGGGTCTGAGTTTTACAGTGCAGGAGTACACGCTGACCAACATGCTATCAGCTCCTCTGGAAGGGAGAGGGATGGCCCAAAGATTTATTATAAGTTGGGGGAATTAGGAGCAGAGACATCACTAGCACTGTGCGGTGCTCCTTCACACCCAGCCAGGCACGACAGCAGTTTCTGCACCACACAGAAGCATGGCACAGGGATATCTCAGCTGATTTCATACAGCATCAACTCCGAACTTACGCAGTGTATGAACACAGCATAGCACTTCACCTGACTTCTGTATCCCAACCACAGAATGGCTTGAGTTGGAAGGGACTCCAAGAATCACCAAGCTCCAACTCCCCACCACAGGCAGGGCAGCCAACCTCCACATTTAATAGCAGACCAGGCTGCCCAGGGCCCCATCCAACCTGGCCTTGAACACCTCCAGGGATGGACGGGGCATCCACAGCCTCTCTGGGCAGCTGTTCCAGCAGCTCACCACTCTACCTGTGAAGAGTTTCCCCTGATATCCAAGAGATATCCAGTGATTTGCTCAGGGAAAACAGCTGGTGTGCTCTTCTAAGATAAATTCTGTAAATTTAGGAGAGAGAAAGAGAGCTTTTCTTGTCCGGATGGTTACTGTAGGATCATCGGACGCCATCCAACATGAAAGACTGCATAACAACTGAGAAAGACCTGGTGAAAGCGTGACCCGATGAAACCAAGCTGCTGGGACAGTTATACCATATCTTAGAACCTCCACTTTGACTGCGCTAACCAGCAACGCCTCAGAAGAGCAGAAGAGGTCCAAACTCGGACCTCCTTCAGCCCTCCATTCCTCGTTCAGAGGCAGCCCGCCGCTCGCTGCTGGAGGCGGATGGCACAGCGTGCGGCCCCTCCCAGCCCGCTCCCATCGCTTCCACGCGCGGGACTCCGCGCCGCCGAGCTCCGCGGGCCGCACCCCGCGCACGGGCCGGGATCGGGCAGGCGGGGCAGAGCCGGGCAGTGCCGAGCCGAGCCGAGCCGAGCCGAGCCGTGCCCCGGGGCTGCGGGCCCGAGCGGCCAGCGGGAGGGACGCGGCCCCACGGGGAGCCCCGGCCGCCGGCACGGATCCCGGCCGAATCCCGCGGCCAGAGAGGCGGCCCGCAGCCCGCTGAGGAGCGCCGGGAACTCACCGAGGTCGTCCATGGTGCCGGTGGTGCCGCCGCCCGCTCTCCTCAGCGCCTCGCAACTTTCCCGCCCCGCCCCCGCGCGTGCCCGCCGCCCGCGCGCTCCCGGCGGCGCCGCGCGTGCCCGCGGCTGCCCCCTGCCGGCGGGAGCGGGGGGAAACGGCCCGGCGCGGCGCGGCAGGCGGCTCGGGGTCCCCGCGCGTTCCGACCTCGTGCTGGGAGCTGCGGAGGGCGATGAGGCGTTCCCTGAGCCCGCCGTGCTCCGGGCTGAGCCGCCCCGTTCCCTCAGCCGCCCCCCACAAGCAATAAAGCGGCTCTGCCCCCGAAGCTCGCCCTATGCCTGCTGCGGGGCTACCCGGCTCCCGGAACCGAATTCGGCCCGGCACCATCCCCCTCCTGCACTCTGCCCCGGGACTGCAGTGCGCTGTGGCCCGGCTCCTTCCTTATCTTCTGCAGAAGTTCGACAAGGAGCTATCGCCCCGCTGGACAGATGGGAAGCGGGTCGGAGAGCTGGAAACGAAGGCACTGAGTCAAGCTAAGCACAGCCCCCGTGCAGAGCACCTGCTGCTGCCAGCCCTCCAGCCACCCCTCTCGGAGCCAGCGCTGCCGGGCCGCCCCGTGACCCCACACAGCACTCAGGTTGCCAGCCGAGAGAAATCAGAGCTCACTTCACCAGCGGCGTTACGAGCAGCGCCCTTATTTGCATCGGACTGAATGTTTGGCAGAGAAGAACACGTACGAAGCCCCAGTGAGCGACTGGAAGGCGGCAACGGAGCCCTGCGCTTCAGGCCGCGCTTCCACGTGGATGCCGCCAGCAAGGAAGGAAGACGGGACAGCGGCAGCCCGGCTTCCATTCACTGCTCGGCCGCCCTCCCCAACCACCGCCGTGCAAAGGGACCCCCGCCGTGACAGCGAGAAGCTGCACCGCTGCTACGGGTACGAGTAAAGAACTACGATTTCCTATTTTTGACCACCACAATTCAGTCTCCGTAGAGACTGTCAAAAATTGCCAATGCCGACTATATTTCAAGTCGTCATGGCGGGGTATTGGGAAAAGTTTTCAATTAGCAATAATCGCGCCTCGGATTAACCTCATTGGCTACGATACTGCCACTGCGCAAAGCTGACCGCCTTTCTCTCCGCCGCCACCCCACGCACCGGGGCCACCGGCACTGTCACGGCGAGCGACCCCGCACCGCCGCCAACCCTCTGCCCTTCCTGCCGCCGCCCCCGCCCGGTTCTGCGGTCCCGAGGTTACCGTGAGGAGCGCAGCCCCCGGTTGTGCCCACCCCCGTGTTGGGCGGCGGGCGGCCGCGAGGCATGCTGGGAAACGCTATGCAAAGTAGGCATGACGTCACACGGGAAACCCGGGCTCTCCCCGCCGGAGAGGCGCACCTCAGAGCCCAGCCCCGCCCTCGGGGTGCGGCATCCCCTCCGCTGCTCCGGGGATGTCCGGCTCCGCCGGGCCGCTGGGAGCTCCCTGGGGAGAGAACGCTCCACGTTAAGTAACAGGAGAACAAGAAAAGAACCGAGGTGAGGAACTTCCTCGGAGCTCATCGTTCTGTCGTTAACCACGAGAAATCAGCCTCCGGGGAGGCTCTCAAAAATTGCCAATGCCGACTATATTTCAAATCGTCATGGCGGGGTATTGGGAAAAGTTTTCAACTAGCAATAATCGCGCCTCGGATTAACCTCATTGGCTACGATACTGCCACTGCGCAAAGCTGACGGCTCCCTCCGCGCCGCCGCGCCCCCCGCAGCCGCACCGCCGCCTTCATCACAGCGCGCCGCCGCGCCCCCGCGCGCCCCTCGCCTCCGACCCCGCGCGCTCCCCGCCGCTGCCGCGCCGCCCCCGGAGCGCCGCCGTGTACGGGCTGAGCGCGGCGGCGCGGAGCGGCGGCGGAGTTGGCGCGCGGGGCGTGCCGGGAGCCCGCTATGCTAATGAGCGCGGGGAGGGAAGGCCGTCACAGCGCCCCGCGAGCGAGGAGGGCTTACGGGGAGCGCGCGGTGTGCCGGGTAGGTGCGCGGCCGGGAGCGGGCTGTGGTGAATATGGATTGAATATGGAGGCTGAAATCTGCACTGAGCAGAGAGGCACAACCCGGTGCTGGCAGGGGCAGCAGGCAGGCAGCCCAGCACAGGGGCTGTTCCAGCCGGGATCCGGTTTTCCAGAAACTCTGAATGACCAAATTGCAGAAAGCATCACAGCCCGGGGAAAGCCAGCACCAAAACCGAGCAGCTTCCTTGCAAGACAAGGAGAGAACAGCCTTTGCAGACTGTAAGAGGTACAGGGTTTTTCAGGCGCTGTTTGAAAATCTTTAAAGATAATAGCAATTGAGTTTCAGTATCGTTCACCATGCACCACTGCTGCTCTGTTGACATTCTGCCACCTCATGGAATCATAGAATCACTCAGGTTGGAAAAGACCTTAAGGATCATCGAGTCCAAGCACAAGTACCCTAACGACCCTCCGCTAAATCACGTCCCTGAGCACCACGTCCAAATGGTTTTGAAACACATCAGGGCAGGTGCCTCAACCACCTGCCTGGAGACCCTATTCCAGTGCTTAACAACCTTCCTGTAAAGAAGTGTTTCCTGGTATCCAACCTCATACATCATCACAGTGGCTCGCTGGGCCAGCAGAAATGCACCTCCTGTAGCAGCTTCGTATTTGTCCTCCATGCCTCCCTAGAAAGCTGCTCACAGACCAGCTTGGCCACTTTAACTGCAATGCAGTGGACCAGGTTTCCACGACTTGTCCCTCCTTGCTGACATGTGCCCATATTTTCCAGCTGTGTCACACATACACAAAACTGAACAGCAGCGCCCTGAGAGCCCTCAGTTCTTCCACTGTGCATCATTTTGAGGCCAGCACCTGACACTAGCAGGGAGGGGAAAAAGCCTTTTTTAATACAAGCACCTACGATGCATTTTATCAAAGCTGCTACCGCCATCTGAACACAAATCAGAGCTTATTTTATTCCCGGATGGTTCCTAGAGGGCAGCAAGAGGCACTCGGTGCCGTACGAGGGCTGTAACGCTGCAGGAAGCTGGGCTTCTGTTCTTTGAACCACGGGAACTGTAGTCGCCGTGCTGAGGGCTGAGCTGTGCACAGACTGCGTTTCCCACAAAGCCCTGCTGGCAGGAAACCCTTCTCGGAGCTGGCAGCGCTATGAGAGGTACGCGGTCGGGCTCTATTTGCTGTACCATTGCTATCTCACCAGCCATGTCGCTTTGTGACCCACCTCCCCCTGCCGTGTCGCTGTTACAGCAGAGAGGACTCGGGTGGCACAGCTCTGAATTCCTGGCCTGCCTGCTGCCCTATGCTGCCTTATGCTGCCTGCACAGCGTTTCGGTGTGTGCTATCCGTGGGCCCCGATCATACGCTCAGGGTTTTGGTTTGTACTGCTGACATCTGAGCACTCGGGTTTTCAAAGCAGCCTTGCATTTCCCAAGAAGTCTTCTGTAAGTTTTTCCCTGATGCTGTTCTGGTGCTCCACAGCGTCTCTCAGACGTCTTATTTTTGCTTCTAAGCCTTCCTTGCTTCCCTCTTTTGTGGGCCAGCCTACACGCTGTCTCCATTTGAGGGTCAGGCTGTCACAGCTCCATTTCATTCCCCAACAAAACATTTCCTTTTGAGAGCTCTTTTGGTGGGGAGGGACAGGAATGGGGCACTGGAAGCAGTTTAAGTACTGCCAAGCTGCCGCTGGGAGCATCGGGATGGGCATTCTTCTCAGATCCAATTACTATTTCACAGGAAACTGTATCTTCTGAGCAGTCCTCAGTGTTACTCTGTTGACAGGACATGGAAACGTAGGAATGCTGTCCTATTTCCAAAGTAATTTGGGTTTCTTTACAAAAAAAAAAAAAAGAGGAAAAAAGTGTGAAGAACCATCAGCATCATTTTCTGGAGAACTGCAAGACAATGGGCTCTTTGCTCTCATTTACCTGCCTCGTGTCCTGTTCTTGGCTTTTAGCTCAACATGTTCCCTGCCAGGAAGCTCCCAGGAGGCTGCAGAGCCATCAGACCACACCATCTCCAGCACTGCTCTGTCCCCACTGTGTCCCCAAACCTGGCTTTTGTACCGGCCTGCCTCCCCCCGCATCCCGCAGAAGTAGAAGAGATGCAGCGTTTTATTTCCAGCTCCAAGAAGTTGTTTGTAATGACCGGAGCTGGAATCTCCACTGAGTCAGGGATCCCTGATTACCGCTCAGAAGGTGTGGGGCTCTATGCCAGGTCAGACCGGCGGCCCATCCAGCACGTTGAGTTCGTCCGCAGTGCCAGCGCCCGGCAGCGCTACTGGGCGAGGAACTTTGTGGGCTGGCCACAGTTCTCCTCCCATCAGCCAAACACGGCCCACCTGGTGTTGAGGCAGTGGGAGAAGCTGGGGAAGCTGCACTGGTTGGTGACCCAGAACGTGGATGCGCTTCACACCAAAGCTGGGAGCCAGCGCATGACAGAACTGCACGGCTGCACGCACAGGTACTCACTGGGTAGAGGGAAGATGGTTGACCACTGCTGTTCTGCTCTGGGTCACCAGTGTGTAGGTGCCATGTTAGCTGCTGAGAAGGGAGACAACACATCAATGCACTGTGCTAGTGGAGATGGCGTGTTCAAAGGTGAGAGGGCAGTGCCAGGAATGCTCAGGCCAGGCACATCAGAGCAGACAGCACACCAGAGCAGAGCGCTGCCAGCTGCCTGTGATCACCCAAAACTTCCAGAGGCAAAAGCACAGCCTTAACTGTGAGCGGGAATTCAAGGTAGGGGTCAAAGTGCATAGTGTAGAGCATCCCTGCAAAGCAACAGTTGGAGGCAGGCAGACAACTCACTGGCCTGTGTGAGAAACATGCTCAAGATCAAAAATTTCTAATCAGGCAAAGATCTCCATGAAGAGCAGTTTATTCATTATTGCAATAATGGGCACACACACCCTACTGACAAGGGAGAAATTGTGCAACTAGTCAGTGAAATCCACTCTGTTATATACCCTGGGTCCAACGCAGGTAAAGCCTCTCCTGGCACTCACTGGTTAAGCATCTCAGGCTCACAGTCCTCCAACACTGTTACATTACACTTCCATACAATGTCTGTTACCAACCCATTGTCTTTGGGTATGTTCTGTACTTTTTATGGCGATAGGACAATATTTTCAGCTATCTGCACACTTGTTCTGTCCTGTACCAGACTCTCCCCTACCCTATATGATAACCTTACCTAGTGCCTGTGCCAATTTTACCTAGGTTGGAATGCCCCAGTCTCAACTTGATTCTATTCAGCAATTTTCTTTGTGAAAGGCAACTTATCCTATGCCACATACAGAAATATTGGATATTTCCACTGCAAAAACACAATCTACCTCTCACACCTGCACTATGCAGTAAATAAATATAATGGAAACAGACTTCCCAGGCCTTATAAAGAACAAGTTACTGACTCCAGGGCTTCAGCTGATGTAAAGGTCTCTGTTAAGGCTTTGCTCTACATTTCAGGGTTTTCTGCCTGACCTGTGGTGATCAAACCTCACGCTCTGAGCTTCAGGAGCACTTTGAAGCTCTGAACCCTAGCTGGAAAGCTGAAGCCCTTGGTGTGGCTCCAGATGGGGACGTCTTCCTGACGGACGAGCAGGTGCGCAATTTCCAAGTCCCAGCTTGCAGGAAGTGTGGTGGAATCCTGAAGCCTGATGTGACGTTCTTTGGAGACACAGTGAGCCGGGAAAAGGTGGATTTTGTGCACCAACGCCTGGCAGAGTCAGACTCCATGCTGGTGGCAGGATCCTCTATGCAGGTAGCAAGGTCTTCCTCCCACGCTAGTTCCTGTTTCTGTACTGCTGTCTGCAGCAGCCTTTGATCCCATAGCTGAGGATGCCTGCTTGCTGGCAGATCACCACATCCACTTCAGCTTCTCAGTAATTATTACTGTTTGTTGGGATTTGGATCCCCAGTTGTCCTGTTTGGGCTTCTTGTAACTCCACTAGCAACCAGTGTCATGCTGCTGTAAATATCTCAGTTCTACAAACATCACCACTCCACATACGTGTTTCTTGAACATATAAGCTTTTGCTAGCTTTCTAGGCCCCACAGAAAGCTGTGTGAAATACCAGATTTTAGGACCTCTAATTCCTACTTAAACTTCTGAAGAAGAGAGCAGAAAAGCCTCTCATTGCTGCTCACGTCTGTCCTTTGTATCAAGTGTGTTTTCTCTATTAGCCATTATCTTACAAGTGCAAGGTAAGGTGGTCTAGAAAACCCTGCTGTTGAACCTGTGGAAGCTTTTGGAGAATTAATAAGCTATCTTCCAGGAACAAGTTCTATTACATTAAGAAAAATGACTTTAACACCTTCCAGAAAGGCGTAAAGCAAAGGCCTGATTGCACTTCCCTTTGCTTCAGGATACTGAAGATAAATTCCTTGAGCTCGCTCTTCTTAAGCTCATAATCCTTCATTCAGGAATGATTGAAATGCCTTAGGTTCATTCTTGTAGCACCTAAGCTGGGCCATGTGAGAACCACCAAAGCAGAATCATTTAAGGACCTATGATAAGTAGCAAAAACTGCTGCAGAGAGTTAGTGAAAGACAAGAACTTTCCCTTTGATGTATTTTCTCCAAAACTGAAAACCCTTCACTGGTGAGAGGTTAAAAATTGTTGTCCTTTTCTGAATGGAGAAACCCCCTTCAAGAATTAAGTGCAGCTGCATAACACAGCATACATACGCAGTCCCATTTCCCACTGCCAATCATCATCCATTTCACTTTCTACAGTCCTTTCTGTAGCCGTTCTTTGCCTGTGTTGCCAATAACTCTGTCTTCTGGTGTTCCTGCAGGTGTACTCTGGTTACAGGTTTGCGCTGGCTGCCCGGGAGAAGCAGCTGCCAATCGCAGTCCTCAACATTGGGCCCACGAGGTTAGATCACTTTGCATCCCTCAAGCTGAATTCCCGCTGCGGAGAGCTGCTGCCTTTGATAGTTGCACACTGAGCCAACGAGCTGAGCATCAGTGGCTATCAGGGGTAAAATTCTCTCTACAAGGTGAGTACCTCCTGGGGCAGTCTTCTTAAAGGCTAAGAATGTGGGTTTAAATAGCCAGCAGATGCTGGGGCTGAACTGAAATCCATTCAGACAACGTGCATCGAAGCTTGGCTGCATCTTCCCACCTGTTCCTGTGTGCTCAGGTGGGCCGTGGAACTTCCTCCTGCAATCATGAATAAACATGAGGGTGGTCCCAGTTCGTTTGTCACAGTGACAGAACTACAGGGGATCATCTGCAGATTCAGAGGATGCAATCAGTGCTGGTGCCTTTGCATGCTGCGATCTTTCTTGGTAGCACAGCGGGTTCCTGAGGGTTTCTCAAGTCACTGCTGATTTGAAAGCTGTGCCTGGTTGAACCGACCTGGTTCATCAAAACACTGCTGTTGTGAAATGTGAATAATGTAAATGTTCAATTTCATTATAAAGCAGCTTCTTCTCTCCTTTCCTGCAGGACTTAATCTCTTCAAAGGGGAATTACTTCGGTCTGAAGAGCAGCCATCAGATACTTACATGTGGCCCTTGGTGATGCCAGGAGAGGGCAGCAAGCCTCACACGTCAGCCTGACAGTTTTCTGCACTGAAACCATCTCCATTTAACAAGGAAAGAGAAGAATGATGAAAAGTTTTTTTTTGCCTTCCCTTACTGTATAAACAGTAACTTTTCTTTGCATTCACTGGCAAAGGACCAGACTGGGACAGGATATTCAGACATCTGAGAACAAAATACATTTTTTTTTCTTTTTTTTTCTTTTAATATTTGTCAAGAATGGGGGACAGGGAGTTTGACGAAGTTACTCCAGGCAGAGTAGCACAGGAAAGTGGTATGGAACACACAGTACCAGCTGGAGGATCCCGTGTCATCTGTGGGCAAACATGGAGCGTGCAGAGAGGGTAAAGGAGGCAAAAAGAACTGCAGTTGTCATTCCCCCCCAAAAAATGCATCAGAAGAGGAGCTGAACAAGAACACTGCTCTTGTAATATATTATTTGAAAGCACAGGCTACAGAGCTAATATCAGCAAGGAGGGGAAGTCAGCACTGCTCTGCCAGCTGATCAGCTGAACTGCTTACGATCTGAACATTTTAAAAACAGTATATTGTTGAGATGCCAGAGGATCTACTTTCAGCTAATCTGACCAGAGCTGCTTTCAGTGTCGCTCCTCCCTTTTCAAAAATGTATTTCTAAAAAGTGTTATTTAATTAATGAATAGCTAAAGTAGCAAATTAAAATTGTTTACATGACTGCTACTATTTGCATTGTAATTTCCTCTCCCTCCCGTGATTTATTGTTAGTCTCAGTAGCCAGCTTAGATTCATTTTTTTCATTGCAAAAATGCAGAATGTAATTACTAACAGCTGATGAATTAAGAGATACAATTAAATCTGTACAGTAGGTTTCCCTAGGGGTGATCTCAAGCTTTTATAGATGTGATTTGGTACACTCCTAACAGGAGATCCGTCCCTGCTGGGCAGCCACGTTTTGTTGATCCACAGGGTGGTATCTTAAGACAAATTATACCATATGTGGAGTAAAAGACAGAATCTTGTCCAGCCTGAAACATTACATTTTGAATCCAACCTCCCACATCATTTTACCACTCCCCTCCCAGCTACACTGGGGTCTTTAAAAAGCCCCAGTCCTACCCTTCACCTAACACACCCCGTATTAATATTCTAACAAGAACTGTTAACAAGCTGTTGGAAGCAAGGATGCCAGAGTCATTTGCTAAGAAAGCAATAACAAAGTAAGGAGATCTGACCACAAAATGCTAAGTTGCTTCTCTTTTGTAGTCACTTCAAACCCATATCAGGCAGGAGCATGTAAAGTACAGAATCCAGTGGATATAGAGGATCAATCCTGCAGAAGATAAAGGGAATTAGATATTCAGTGTTTCAGGACTCAGTTCTAAGGGCCAAGGGGGACAATGTTTCACTTATAAGCCACATGAGGTGCACTCACTTCTGCTCCCATTCAAGGGAGACCCCACTTTCCACTGCGTGAAGAAATCTGCTGTTCAGTAGTGAAAAAAGCTCAGAGATGTCAATCTATCTTTTGTGCAGTACAGCTGTCCTACTAACCAAAGCTTTTGCAGAAATCATTGCTAAGGCATCACAGTTTCTACACACAATCTGGCTGCTTGCACCATGTTTATTCACATAGGTTTTCCATGTAAGGAGATATTTGAGTCTCCTTGGCAGAAGAACTGAGGCCAGGGTTTTCAATCTCCACATCATCTTCTGTACCATCTGGAAGGTTGCACAGCATGGGCGTGTTAAAAACAGGCTGCAGGTTAAATGCCATTAGAGCCAGTATTCTGAGAAGGCATGGCAGCATTGCCAGGGAGTCCAAAATAAAAGTCCTCATTTCTAATGAGGACTTAGCATTACTAAATGTGACAGGTAACTTGGCTTTCTATCTGTGCCTCTTTTCCAGTTCAGCAGTGGAGTATCTGGGAGAGGAGAAGCAGGGTGTCTCTTCAGCATCACTGATAAATGGGTTGTGTTACCCTGACCCTCCACTGCTTACACTACATGCTTTCAAGTCACTAGGGACAGAGACTTACAGTAGATAATGAGCATTTACATAAATTTCCTGTGCATGGTTTATTATCATATGTTAATGAGCTTACATTTAAAACAAGTATATGAGGCTGAGACAAAGTTGTTCTGTTTTTGGTGCCAAGCTGATCCAGCACTACTAAAATTGACTTCTCATACAGCAAGCTCAGAGCACGTAACTTCTTAACATGTCACTCTACACACCATTGGGAACTAAGTTTGCCCATCTGAGAAATGCCACAGAAAGCCTGAAGTTCTAAACCAAAAGCCATATCTGCTTTAACATTGACCAACACCTTCCCCTGTCACTTCTTTGGGACTGTTTGTGTGGGAAGATGCAATGCAGAGAGATAACAGCTACCAAAAGCTGTCACTGCAGGTAGGTAGCAAAGACCAATCTTGAAAAGCCTGCTTCACAGCTTACTGATGTAGTTACCATTCTGAAGGGAGTTACAGAAACCTCCAGGGTTCAGTACAAAGAACACAAATCATCCACTGGCTGAAACTAACAGGAAAGGCATGTTACAGAGCCTGGGCAGTGATTTCTTCCCCCTTTACCATGGAGGAAATAATGCCTTGTCTGCTCAAAACCAGCCTTGACCATCCACCACAACTGAACCTTCTCCTACCTTTTCTGGGTCATCGCTGTTTGGCCACTACACCAACGTTTCAGATCTGGGCTTGAAGTGGCAGCTCTGTCCATCTGTGGTTAGCAAAAGCACACATTAGACAACAATACATACCTTTTTTTTTTCCCCAGTAAAATTAGCTGAAATCAATAGCCTGAAATTAATGTACTCTTCCCTTTTTTCTTACAGCTTTTCCTACTAGAACAAGTTCCTGAGGTTTGGCTAAAGGAGCTGTGAGTCCCTTAGAACAGATCCTTCTGTACCTCCTCTGAGAGTGGGGTAGGAGTTACTCAAAGCAAATAAAAGCTGCTTCCTATTTAGCAATCCTTGTCTTCAGTTCTGCGCAAACCCTCAGAGCATACTCTGTTACAGCCTGAGGCATTTCACAAACAGTGCTCCAGTGAAGGCAGCACAGACTGCAGATGGCCCGAAGGATCCTGCCTTACAGTCAGAGTGCTCCTACCAACAAACCCGCTTATTTTGATTTCTTGGAAAGGACCAAAGATTCTGGGCATCGTGAACTTGGGAGATTCTGGAGCCTTGGAACGAAAGGGGCAAAATCCACCTTCTAGAGTGTACCTCTTCCCACACAACAGCCTTGGATGCCACCCCTTCCTATTCTTTGCACCTGTACAGAGAAAAAAAAAAAAGACATATCAAAGCAGAGCCAACTGACTGCTTTCCTTGGTCTATTCACTCAAAAACCCATGGCTTGGGCAGGACAGATGGAATCTTCTCACATACCCTATCCTGGGGTACCAGGTAAACAGCAGCAATCCTGAGAAAACAATTGGTGTTAGTGAGAAAGGAATGAAGAGGGTCTCAGCCAAGTGCCTGAAATCAGCATTTCTTATTGCATCACCCTGAATCCCTTACAGTGTCTCAGTGTAGAGGTTTCAAGATCTAAATTAACTTCACCTGAACAGCTGTTTTTAGATTACAGAAAAAATTATACAGGTGAAACAATAAATATACAATAGAGGACTTCGCCTCTCCAGTCTGACTGGTGTGGCCATTTTCATCACCAACATACACTGTGAAAATATCTTTCAGATGCCAGATTTATTCTGACTGAAGCTTTCTTTTCAAAGGGCATGGAACATGGGCTGCTAGATAGCTTTGATTTCTTCAGGTGGATCTTAAAAAAAAAAAAAAAAGAGAGAGAGAGAAAAAAGGTCACTGATATTTTTTGAATAACAACAGAAAGCAGACCATTAATCCTTTCCCACCGATCATCTTGTTTCTACAAGATTTTTTAAGTGGAGGATTCCCCTTTGGGGGCTGCACAGCTGAGCGGTCTGTCACCTGCACACCCGAGTCCTGACAGATACAGGAAACCATGCAGAGGACACAGATGGACAAGGAGGAATTCATACTCACTCACACTGACAACTGGCCAAGCAGGCAACAATGACAAAGGCTAAAAATAGAAGAAGAGGGAAAGAAAAAAAGCAGTTTGTGTCAGAGGGCGTCACAGCATAGAGAGTGATGCTTGCACACTCCAGACAAGCAGGCTAGAGCGCCTGATTCAAGTGATCTGCTGCCCCTTGCTCAGCCCCTGACAACACAATGCAGCTTCAGCATAAGCATATCAAAATTGTGCCAGTTTGCTAACATATGAGCACTTCTGGGACATTCTGCTATTCCCTTATCAAAAGATTATTAGGGGGACAGGGAGGAAAAAACGCTCACAGAAGGGTTTTGCTTAACCAACAAAACCATCCCCATGCTGGGGCTTGCAGGTGGAGCACGAGGAGCAGCGGTAAGTGATGCATCCCACAGGACCAGGGGTGCACAGTGGCAGTGCAGGCACTGACTTCAGCAACCTTAAGTTCCAGATCTGACAAAGAGTCAAAGAAATATTGTGGATGAAGTGGGAAGGGTTTGCCATAACCTTCACTGGACTTTCCATATATGGAACACTGTGGCAGCAAAAGAGGCTCCAGGAATGTTGGGTTCCTCGTGAACACCACCTTTGCCGTTCTCAGCGCTCTCTCGGATCCTCGGGTTCTGTCCCATCTATAAGAGCAGCTCTCGCAGGCACAGCTTGGTGCAGCTCAGACGGCCCTCACAAGGCTGCACAGCCCCTCCCGGCCCCGCTAACACCACCTCAGCCCCGCAGCCCGGCCCAGACACGAGCCGCCCGGAGCGGACGGCGGCCAACAGACGCCTCAGCCCCGCACACGGCCGCGCCCCGAGCGATGCGCAGCGCCAGGAGGAGCGCAG